AGATGAATTATTAAGATATGGGTGAGTCTATTGGCAATCCCGGGGGTGTCAACAAGAAGCTATTGGCACTCCCGAGAGTGTCCATAATGAGCTATTGGCACTCTCAGCAAATGTTTGTGAGTGTCAACAAGAAGCTACTGGCACTCCCAGGGAGTGTCAACCTACAAACGCTGATTTGAAAACTTTGCAACCGTATAATTACTAAAACACATAGCGTTTTCTTTGAAAAAAACAGGTATCGTTTTTCGGAAAACAGAATATACGTGCACCAGTTGAACTTACGTCGGTTAGCACTGTTTCTTCCATTTAACCATATCGCACTCGAGAGAAACTTGAGATAACTTATATTCCTCGCGAATTAGAACTCATTCACAAACAACTCAAAAAGTAGAAAAACCTTTAAAAGAACAACAGTTAATTTAAAATCTCGGCTCCAGAGAATAAGCCACTTTTCCGACACGGCTTTTACATTAAGTTTGTCTGGCGACGGAAATAGCTCCTAGTTGACACTCCCAAACACTTGCTGGGAGTGGCAATCGCTTCTTGTTGACACTCTCGGGACTGCTAATAGCCATTCCGTTAAGATATTGAAGGGATATAATTAGTATTTTTGGATATATTACACGTTTTTCTAACCACTTTCCTAGTGAAACTTCCAATGTAAACAGTAAACAATTCCAAGGTAAACTGCCAATGAAGCAAAAGTGGTATGAGGAATGACAGAAGAGAGAAAACAACACGAACAGGAGGAAGCCATATGCCCTCTAGCCCTGTAGCAACTTTGTTATGCCAGCGGTTAACGGTTGAGATCTCGAACCTGAGCGGATTACAGACCGGTGATTCAAACCAACTGCTCGGCATTTGAAGTCCATCTTTTTGGGAGTTCCTTCGATCCAGTCTTTCACAGACTGAAGAGGTATACCATCTGCTGGTGGTATTTAGGACACGACTTTTTCATAGATTGGTCACATCAGATTTAGGGAACACAACAGCAGAAAAACCCTATCACCATCTCATTTCGTTCAAACACTATTTCAAAGATACTCACACTCATTCTATTTTGTTATGGATAGTAATAATCTTGACTAAATTAGTCTAGCAACAAGGAGGAAGATTATACGGCACAAGAAATATCCTGTGAGCATACTTCAGTTTTGATTTGATTCATCGAATGTCATCTACAATTTCAACAACATCTGGATGAGTAGGTGAGAGTGAATGATGGAAGATCGTGGCTGCTTTCTGAACGTATTCGAGTGCCAGCTGATGTTTCTTTGTGTCTTCGTGCACGAGACCAATATTCTCGTATGCTTGAGCGACAGAAGCATGAGTGGGTGGAAGAGACTTTATCTTTATTCTCAATGAGTTTTCATAATTGGACAAGGCCATAGAGATGATTCACAAATGACGCTGATCAACATGATGATCAGTGTTATGCATTTACGTTTTTCACACAACCGTACAGCATTGCCCTTACTGCATAGTTAGATATGCTTGGCTGATCACCTCCAAAGCAATCAACTCTATTTGAAAAGTGCCTCTATGAGTAAGTATCCGAGAGTTTGCAGAATCTTCGACGGTTAGATCGGGAAGTCCGGCGAGATTTTTGGTAAAGTGAAAAACGAAGTTTCATCATGAATTCAACCTTTCGGAAGCAGAAATGAATCTGTGTTTCGACGCAGGCACAAATTCTGCCAAAAAAATACTTAGACGGCCTGGCCAGCTAGTTGTCCCCTTCAATTATTTCCCGATATTTTTTCAGCGTTAAAGTGATACAATTCATCGATAAAAGCGCCAAGCGTTGTGACGGAGCACAGATTTTATACTGTTGTAACGCGTTAACAGATTGTGTCCGGTTGTGCGGCATTAAATGGTTCACATAGCGCGTTTTAACGGGATATCTTATTTCTTACGTTGGAGCACGTTAATTCTTCGTAAGTAACGCGTTATTAACGTACATAAACGAGTGCAACAAGATAAAAAGTCGTAGAAAACGAAGACAAATTACGAAAACCCTTTGCATGAAATTAAAGAGATATTGTGTAAGAACGAGATAAGAAGGGTAGCGAGGTCAGGGGCGAAAATCTATCGTATGATGACGTACGGGTACTCTAGGGATATTCCTGTTTCATTTTTGCTGAGATCCGATCGCCAACACAATTTTGTCTCGTACAACGAGAAAATGCTGATGTTCGCAAAATAAAATCGCGATGTTGTAATTGTAATCGCGTTCTTGATCAAATCAGTAATGAGATCCCATTCCAGTTTGTTTTAAAAGTGTGACGGGATCACGGTAAGATTACAGGAAGATTTTTTGCTTCACACATTGTGAAGGAAAATTTTTCAAACTAATCATTCTTTGTCTACCTACCGCAAGCTTGGTTTAGGCTGTTTCTTGAAACAGTAAGAAAGCGATAATATAAATTTCCATAAATAAATCGTTGGTTGAAAATACTTAAGGATTTATTCTTATATATGCATGAACAATGTCCAACAAAGTAGTGATTGAAAGAATAACATGTTTATTTGTCTACCCTATCGACCAACAGAATATTAACACTAGTCCTTTACACTGTAGTGTTACAATAACTATAAATAAATGCAAAGTTGTCATATTTACATTTTTGTCCGACGTCAAAGTCATGTCGTAATCAAAATGATTGCTATTTTTCTTTGTTAGCAAAGATTTTGAAAATTACAAAAAGTTTTCAAATCTTGTCAAGATTTTTCCAGGCATATTTCTGAAAAAACTGGAAGATCTTGACAAAAATTGTTAAACATTTCTTGAGATCAAGAAACTTAACAGATCTTGTGCAGATATAAACTTTCTACAGGATGTGAGTTGCTGGCATCCTTTTGTCAGCCTCGGTTACGTCATGTTTTAATCGGACTTTTCTTTAAGAACATGATGTAATTAACTCTCGGCATAGAAATATCTCTATGCACGACAGGAAGAAGTTTTAATAAAGCTCGTGGCTCAGGTTAGAAAAGAAGTTTCGAGATTGAAACAAAACGGGAAGTGATTTCAAATTTTTATAAACTGATTTTTCGGTTTTAAAGGAGTCTTTTCAGTTAATAGTTGAGAGTAAGGGTTCGATCTGACGTAAACTCAAGTCCACGTTTTTACTTGAAATCAACCGGGAATTTTTAAAAGAACAAGTAAAACGCAATTTTTAACATTTATAAAATTCTCAACTAATAACCATATGGTTATTAGTCGAGAACTTTATAAATGTTAAAAATCGATCGAAGATAGTTCAAACTCTTTTTTGTTGATGGTAACTTTCACAAAGCGGTAATTAATAACTTGAGGAAGGGAAACCACCTCTGTAGTTTCCGTCTATCTGGCATGCGAAGCGTTCGATTAAGCGTTGAGTAGAGTGAATGTCCGTTCTGTTCCCATTCTATTATGTACAGGTGAATAGCAGCTGCTTCATCTCTTTGAGCAAATGTATTAGCCAATTTAATGAGAATGTCGTACCGTAATTTTGATAAAGTTTTAATCCTTTCCACAGTAAAAGTTTCAATTGTGTCTCGTAGAAGAAAAAAAGATTTTTCAATTTTTGTTCAAAGTAGCATGGGAAAGTCGCCATAATCTTTGTTTCACTGCTGAACTTCTAACTAGAATAACTCGTTTAATTTTAATTACTTCTTTCCAGATTCTCACAAGCACATAGAGAAGAGTCTTTTCTGTAAGCTTGTCTATAAATATCTGGAAACCGCTAAATCGTTCCATCGCAGTTTTTTCTATTGCTCCACTAGATTTTTATCAATCATTGAATTACAGCAGCTGAACGTTATTATTTATTTCACATGCGAAAATGACTTTCAGTGACAACTGATTTTCTCATCAAGCTAATACGTTCGTTTAATGGCAAAGTTAAAACACAAAACGAAGTAAAGCACACAGGAATACTACATAGCTTAATTTACTTTTGGATTAAACTGTACCTAAGTAAACCGTTGGAAATGAATAGAAAATTCCGTATTTTGTAAATTAATTTGTGGACAACAGAGGATTCTAATCAAAAGAGTGGAGCTATCAGTAAAAAGATGTTGAATTGTTTTCGTCTCAGCCTAAGAATACAGATGCTCTCCAAAGCGTCTTTATCCTTTTCTCTTTTGAAATAAAATTGTTACGTTAATACTTTTGCTACTGAAGATAACTTTTTCTGCTCAAACTTTTTAACTTGATATAAAAAATCCGCTTTTACGGAAAGCTTTTGTTTCATTTATTTTACACGGCCATTTTCGCGAGAGAATACGTTACACTCTGACACCAACTAAAAAGTTTAGTAAAGCAAGGGAAATGTTCTCGTTTACATGGCTCAAATCCTTTCGAAAAAGTAGTCTGCCGGTACATAGCACACTGTGCTATCGTGTTGCAGTGCAACACGAAGAGATGAATCAAATCTATTCATTTCAGCATATTTTTCATCTTATGTAAAGTGTATAAAAACCCACATTTTATCGAAACATAATATATTTGACTACATTTAGTCGAAAAAGAAAGTTCCAGTTAAAGTCAGCTTGTATTTGTGACTATCTCAGTTTTGAAATAAAACCGGGTTTCCTTATCTGAAACACTTTTCTTTTATACATTTTCAGGCTCGATGTTCAGTTTGATGGTAAGTTGATAAAATGAATAGACTCTGCCAAGCGCTGAAAAGCTTTTTGTCTGTTGCTAGACAAAATATGCAATCAAAAGATGAGAATCGTTGACATTTCTAATGTCAACTTGCTCAAATCTCATGCTCAACTCCTCAAAACGAATTTTGATCATATGAAAAGTATCATACTTCCCATATGATCTTTTTAATAAGTTCCTATCGTATTGTTAATATATTTTCTTATTCAACATTTCATAACTACGAAATGAAAAAAGGCGAGCAGAAACATTTACATCTATTTCTAGTCTTCTAATCGACATGTTCAATTATTAAATGTGAAATTTTCTTGATAAATATTTAGTGTTAATTTGAAATGTAAAATGAATGCGGTTATAGTTCGCCTAATCGATCAAAATCACTTTTAGGCGGTTGATTTGCTGTTGTATCTTGAGTAAATGGAAAATAATTAACTAATTGCGAGAATGGACTTTTCGGGTGTTCGTGCGATTGTTGACTAGATCCACATTTACCAAGACGATCGAAATACTCAGTTGAACTATCACTTTGAGAATATTCAAATGATAATGTACCTTGTTGCTGTTGGACATGTTGAGATGATGACAAAATTGATGCTTGGCTATCGCACGTCAATGGTTTCAGAGCATCAAAGTAAGTTGACGGAGCAAGTGTTATTTGAGAAGCAGACGAGCATAATTCTGAAGACGATGCGCTGTCAATTGATGAATGATCTTGAGTTGGATACTATATGTGAATAGAATAAAACATTTTTCGTTAAACATTACGTCAAGCATTCGCGTGTTCAGACTCTCATTTGCTCCAGGGATTTATGTATCGATTCATTTCTAGGTTATGTTTGAAATATCGCAACGGTTCGATAAAAATCTTAGAACTTGGCTTTGATTCTGTCTCGCTCTTTTCAAGAATTGGTAATACTTGTTGATTCCTTCATCGAAGTTTGAAGATAAGCGTCTGATTCGTCTGAAGATGTACGAGAAATGGATATTCATCACTGAAAGGCATCTGAAAAGTCGGGATTAAGTGTGCAGGATATGTATGGCTCAAGATAATATCAGCAATACATGCACATCATGATCAGACTATATGATCTTTCATTTCCATATTTCGGAACCGACCGTAAAAAGGATAGTGCTCTATGGGCTTGATCAGAGCTCAAAAACATATAGTCACATGCGTAACAAATGTATAGGATGACTGGATTTAATTTATTAAACCAAGTCAAAAGCGAAGACATTTTTTTCTTGATTTGCTCAGCTTGGATGCTGTCATACTTAGCCTTTCTACTATTGCCAATAACAACCACTTTCCTTTCTTTTCTGTGAGAAATGCTTTTCATACATCGAAATTCATTTGATAGATTGAACTAGTCACTTTGGAAAACAAAGGACCCAGCCGCATTTTAAAAATGTAAAAGTACCAAAATGCTGAATAGCACGTTTGATAGAGAATTTTATTGCGCATCTAACCATATATAACTTTTGGTTTGAAACTATGATCGTTTCTCAAAAAATAATTTTTCAAAAGTTTCATCACTGACATGAGATGAAAAACGTTTTTAACTCAATAAGAAAGTATAGTGAAGATATTGTTTATACCGGATTTTGTGCAGCGAAAAATGCGCTAGAAACTGACGATAAAACAATTTAAAGAACATGACTGTTGTTTGAAAAAGAACTATTTTTTGAGTAAAATTTGAAATTTTCATTTTTCATACGCTTCACTAAAACTTCTATAGCAGATCAAAGAAATACAATACTACTCTGAAACTTTATCAAAAATTGCCTGACACTTAACTCTATGAAACTTTTGAAAAAATTATTTTATGAGAAACGATCAGAGTTTGAAACCAAAACGGTCGGTCCCGAAATATGGAAATGGAAATTCAGCTTTTTGGTACTTTTATATTTTTAAATCCGACAGAGAGTAAAGTTCACAGTAAAGTCACAGTTCGCTGTTGCGAAAATACAAACCACTTTTTGAAAAATACGACAAAAAAAACTGTTGCACGCCTAGCTCTGACATTCCAAAAATAAGCTGAAAATGATTTGATATATAAACTTCTGTAAGCAATGAGAGTTCGGATACACTATTCACATGTTGGATTGCTGAAACTAAAAGCTTTACAAGGATGGATGGATATAGAATAAAAGTTTTTCTTATGTGAAGGAACTGTCTTCTAAATAAAACGATCGGTCAAGTCGTACGATCAGCATTGGCCTATACTTTGATACCTCATAGGAATTATCTTAGTTTTAATAGATGAGCCTTTTTATATATTAACACTCCATGGTTTTTAACAGGTACAATACTTTCTGACAATATCTAGCAGTCTCAACATGCTCTCTGTACTTTTTTTGACGACAAATGAATCAGTGGCATCTATCTTCACCTAAAGATTTGAGGCATAAAGCATCACCTGTAATTTTGTACGGTCTAGAAAAAATTTAATTTTTTTCAATTTTCTGAACTGCTCTTACACGCATCGTTGTTCATAGTTCAACGGAAGTATCCATGTTGATGCAAAGCTTTTTGTTTAAATAATAAATACTCACACATTGTTGAATCGTACTACCATAGTCTAATTTTGCATTTAAAGCCAAACAATTTTTATTCATATCCTTTTCAAATTTATCCCAATCGTTCACATTCGTCATGGCCAAAACACGATAACCTAGAGATGTTTCTGAACTATTTTCAAACATATCTCTTAAACTTTTACTTAAAATACGGTTCAAATCTAAATTATCATTTCGGGATGAATTACTAGCCATTTTACGTTACGATGTTTAAAAATCAAAAAAAGTATTTCGAATAAAAAAGAAAAGATTTTTGTGTTCGATACATCTTTATCTTTAGTCAATGATTCAGTGTCATATTTTCGTACGTGACTTTGAATGATGGTACCTAAACAGATTTGATATATAGAATCAGTGTGCTATTTCGAAGAAAAAGAAAAAAACAAATATTATTCATGATATATATATGTACGATTAGGCATGTACCGAATCCATATAATTCATCTCAAACATGAAATATTTTTTACATGAAGACCCACGGAACCCGACCGAATCTCAATGTGAAATATGAACAACTTTGTGCGCTCTATCCGATCCTCATGTTGGATTTCATCTAGTTTTTAAAAAGATACCAAGATTCGGTAGGATTCGGTGAAAAATGCCAAAAAATGCGAAATTTCACCGAATCCTACCGAATCTTGGTATCTTTTTAAAAACTAGATGAAATCCAACATGAGGATCGGATAGAGCGCACAAAGTTGTTCATATTTCACATTGAGATTCGGTCGGGTTCGGGGGTTCTTCATGTAGAAAATATTTCATGTTTGAGATGAATTATTTGGATTCGGTACATGCCTATGTACGATATATGGGCATTCTAAAATACATGTTGTAGAGAGTAAAAGTATTTACAGACTATGTGCAGTTCGAATGTACTAATAACAAGCTTTTTGGTTGTCTTTATAAATGCGACATTAGTATACGATTGTTCAAGAAATCTAACAATTACCTGGTAAATCGTACCGCGAGAGATTTCACGTAGGACAACTTTTCGACTTACAAGGGAGCCTTTTTCAAGTGTCTAATCGCTTTCTGGTCGAAGCCTAGTGGGTTATCGATTATCGACTGTGCTGAACCCGAATATCAGCATGAGAGGGGCTCTTAGATCTTCAAAGATCAGTTTTCCAGAAAGTCGAAAAAATCTCCGCAACTTCTCTTAATAGGTTATGTTTGTAGCCCGTGATAGTCTGATCAAAATGAGACATCCCCCAGCTCTAAACGACCTTTCCTTGCAAGGTTATAGAATTTACAAGAAAAGCCTATATCAATTTCTGCTTTTTCTTTTACTACATTCGAGCTGACAACGAACATTTAGGCCTTTTCTTGTAAATTGTATAACTTTGCGAAGGAAGGTTGTGTAGAGCTGAAGGATGTTTCATTTTGATCAGAATTTTGCGCGCTACAAACATTGCTTATTAAGAAAAGTTTTGGAGATTTTTTTGAGTTTCTGAAAAACTAGTTTTACAGGAAACCGGTCTTTGAAAGCCTAAGAGCCCTTCTCATGTTAATATTCAGTTTCAGCACGGTCGATAACCTATAACCCACTAGGTTTCTACCAGAAGGCGACTGGACAGTTGGAAAAGATCCCCTGTTAGTTTGAAACAACAAAGAATTTTTGCTAATGTTGATAAAACACGAAATAATAATGTTCTCAAGTTGTTAAATGGCGCTGTTTTTCTTTTTCAATATTTTATTTTGCTCATACAGACTTAGCATTGATACTTAAATTTTTTTCTTCTTTCAAGAAAAAACACTAGAAACGAATCGATTTTTTGCCTAGAATTTTTAAATACCACACAGCTAAAATGTATTGGATTCATTTGATATACAACAGCAGACGACGTTCATTATGGCTGACGTTATTTGTACATATTTTATAAGGCACGTATTCAGAAAGCAAAAATATGCAAGTGACAAATAATTTCTGTAATGAATTAACATCTCACTACGATATTTAAATCAAAAGTAAAAAAAGATTCTACTGATATATTAGTGAACCTATCTTAGACAGAAACTGGGATATATTTTATGATCTGTAGTTTGCGAAGAGATTGTGTCTCTATGACGAATAAAAACAAGTCTTATCATTTGTAAATGAAGATGAACAAGTGGAAAAGCGGAGCGATGGTAGAAAACTAAATCTTTTATCCTTAGTTTGTTTATTAAACCTTTGTTTTATTTCAGTTCGACGTCGATATCATCGAGCGAAGACTGATCTCATTCTACCCCCCATCCGGAGAAAAAGTGCAAACTAGAAAAGGTAATAATTGAAAGAGCTCAACAGACGGAAAAGAAGGCAAGCGAAAAACCGGACAAAGACGAGATAGATTCTGCAAAAGATGAAAATTATTAGCAAAAAAACGAGGAGGTCTTACGGGCTTAATAGAAATGAAATTCAGACGAGGTATGTTTATGAACTTTGTTCAACTATCATGGTAAAAATCTGGATACAGTGTGTCCGATATACATATGAACTGCACTCAGTTATACGTTCCAATTAGTAATCTAGGTGACAACTAGTAATATAACTGGAAATAGATTTGATTCATTAATAATTCTTTATGATTGCTGGAAAGAAACTATGACAGCCGATTTATCGCCTTACAATCGACCGTTGGATTTGGATCCGACAGTCGGATTTGGCCGACTGTGACCAATTTTTAGGTGTTTTGAGCCTTACAATGACCATAAACTTTTTCTTTAATTTTATGTATGTCGTATTTAAAGCGCTTTTGTCGTGAACACAATATATCTACTCATTTTGTCTCTTTTGCTATATAGATTGTTCCGTTTATTTTACTAATATAAGCTCATACAGTGTTTCTAACAGAATTTATCCGCGCAGAGTACGAGTGAACCATCTAGATACTCTGATTATGACTACAACTGTAAAATGGGCAAGAAAAAAACATTTTTCTTGCGCACGGTAAACAAGCAATATTATGACAGTCCGCTAGCGATTCGGTTTTAAGTAAGCGTACTACAATCGACTTTTCTGTTTTTGTTCTATTACTAACTCAATTATTTACTCCGGTCAATAACAAACAACAACCATTTCTATCGAAAAATGGTTCTGCTCCCATTAGTCATATCACCGACAGAAAAATGAAGTTCATTTAGAGACGCCGAAAGTGATTTTTCGTATTCAGCACACTCGATAACCCAGAAGATTTTCTATTTTGGGTTAGGGTTACTGCCGAAAGTTTTTTGAACAAAATGGCGAAAAAATATTTCCAGGGAAAAATAATACTAGTTTCGTAATTTTTCTTTTCGCAGTATCCTTCAACAAAAATACAAAATCTTCTGCGTTATCGAGTGTTCTGAATATGAGAAAGCACTTTTTTCGGCGACTCTAAATGAACTTCATTTTTATGTCGGTGATATGACTAGAAAAGCCTACATCGTCTTTTATTATCTTACTACTTATCGAATAGAATAAGTGAGACGAATGATGGAAAAAGATGTTGGTAAATGTTAAGTGGCGCTTTGTCGACACTCAATTTTGTTGCTGGAGTTTTCACTAGTCTCATTAAATTTAGTAATTCAACTATTCTAATAGTGTCCTCAGTTGATGTTTCAAACGATCAATTTTATCCATTTTTGTTAAACTTGGATCTCTACCTATTTGTATTAATAGCATGAGACTATCATGCGCGTTCTCTTCTTCTTGTTCTTCTACAGTATTAATATTTATTGATAGATACGGTTGTAAATGAAGATTTTTCAACAATGTATTTACTGCACTTTGGCTCAGTGAACGATGGCTAGGATATCGTCGTTGACTTCTTCATTGTTCGTGATAACTACTACTAATTATTCATCAACGTTAGGCTTATAATCGCTGCAAGTATGACTTTTTTGTGTACAACCATGAACGAATTATGAGCAAAACATCTATATTTGACTGTTATTTTGATGTTGTCTTTCTGGTGGTTCAAATATACCTGGTTTTGTAAATGTTATTTTCGCTGTTATTATTTATGTGAAGTAATATATTTTCTCTCTTTCTTATACAATTTTCTTCGCTCTACTGAACTACATCACCGATTTTTGTTTTCGTTCACAAATTCGTTCAGAATTCGTGGTTCTGAAAAAATATTTCTTTCTATCCCGTAACCACATGATATTGGGTAGCTCTGGCAAGTTATTCAGTGTCCATTCTTTATATGGGGTGTCTCCGGGGTGTCCTCCTTCATATCTCAAAACTGCAGCTCTTTAGCTCATTCCACTCTCCAGTTATTTAGAAAACATTCAAGTGCATTCTATTTTGGCGTCGATACTGGAAAAGTGTTTTCCAACTCTGAGAAACCAAGTAGTGGTAGTTTGCTAACCTGCGTTTTGTGATACTTCTGGGTACACACTATCGATATACGATCTGAGTCATTACCTTCTGTTTGGGTCAATTCTTTCCCACACAAACGGTAGTAGTTTTATAAGAATTACTTTAATACATGAATTGGCTCAAATAATTCCTATTAATACATAAGAAAAACAAGTTATGGGAACAAGACTGCTATCACTAGCGAAACTTCTTATAACCAAGATCTTGACTTCTTGCATTTTTCCAGTAAGTTCTTGACTCAAGATCTTGGTAAGAAAATTTAAGAAATTCGTAGAATCCAGAATTTTCAACATCTTGAAATTTCTTAATTTCTTTTACCAAGAGCTTGATAATTCTTGAATCACCGTTTTCTTTCACACTCTTGCTTACATATAACTCCGAAAATTTTCCTTTCTTGAACATAGCTGCTTGAAGATCATATATAATTGTATGTCTAATGGTTATGGCTGTCATATACAAAGAAAATATAAAAGTTCTCATCACAACACTTTGAAACATTTTAATTCGATTCACTCACGATCTTGGCCAAAATCTTAAGTGCAGGTTTCAAGAGTGCAAAGATCTTGTAACATACTTTTAACCTAAGATCTGGGGTACACAAAGCTCTACTAGGAATATACTATTTGGACCTGTTTGACCGGTTCAACATCAACTTTTGACTTCGTACTTATTAAATGATTGATTATATCTAAATTCTCATGGTAATGTTGTGGGAAACATGTTTATTTTGGTGTAAATGCAGAGGACACTTCTGTGGCACTATGTAACGACTAGATAAAAATAGACATGGCACTTTAACATGCGACTAAGAATGTTAAGTCAAAAAAAGATCAACCAAGAAAACTTCTAATTG